GAGGCAACAGGCACAGACTTTTTCACCGTGTGGGTGACTGAGCACTCGCAGTTTGCCCAGAGAGATGGTGGTCTCCACCCTCAAGGATATTAAAAAGCAGGGGTCCTGCACAGCTGGCTCTAGCTGGCCCTGCTTGAGCAGGGAGGTTGGACCAGATGCCACCTATACATCCCTTCCCCTTTCAAGCTTTCTGTGATTCTGTGAGCAAAGGAACAATTCTGTGGGCAAAGAAGTGTTGCTGTGATGCCACCACAGAGGTCCCCCACAAACCAGAAAGTGGCATTGGGCTGTCCTTATTCTTGGCTGTTCTGCAGAGGATGTTCACTCACAGGAATGGCATGTTTGTGCCATTAAAAAGCTAGATAGACAACCCTGAAGTGACGCAAACAGATTCATCTCACCTAATCACATGAGTAAGTTTGCTTTAACTAATTTTTTTTTTTGTTTTAAACTGCTCTGTGTTTAGGTACTTCAGCCTCATTAGATGACACACTCTAGCACTTCTGCTGACATCAGTAGAATTACTAACTTCTTGCAAGCAAGGGCTACTTTATTTAAGTACCCAAAAGGTAACCTCATCAACAAGGAGAAAAAGAGTGCCGGAAAGAGAAATGAGAAAAAAAAAGATGGTAGATAATGAAATCATACTACTTTTCATCCCAGTATTGTAAAACTTCCCTTTTAAATGAAAACAATGGTTTCCACAACTATGGTGTATTGCCCTTCCTTTCCTGGTAAAGGCAGTGAGGAGGGAACACAGAAGGCCTGAGTTATCTACGGGGAAAAGACAGACAGAAAGAGACAGAGTGGGAGAGAACAATTTTGCTACAAAATATGAAAGGCTAAAAATTAATACAAGGTATTTGATAAAAATGGTAATTGGTATTTGGTACTAAATTGGTAAAAATGAACAAAAAAACCCCCTAGTTGTTCTTATCTGTATCATTACGAGGTCAGCGTTAAAAAATAATTACAATTCCTAAGCAGTTGTACAAATATAAAATCCAACCTACTCCTTAAAGAGCACATTGTAACATTAGAACACTTTTCAAACCAGCCCTTGTATCTCACCCATTAGAAATCTTATCTACACAATTAAGCCTAGACTACAAAGAAAGGAGTAAATAATGTCTTGGTTTTACAACAGTAACAGAGCTAAATATCCAGGCGATAAGCTATCTTTTCTGCCTGTTTACCCTGTTCAGTTTTTTTCAGCAGTTTTTAAGGAAACATCTTAGAAAAATTAGGAATTTGGATGGGAAACGGGCACACAGCATTTATAAAGCTATCTGTCTGGCTGTGTTATCATCTTATTTCTCATGAAATATAGAGGAGAAAAGAGGAGTCTATCCTTCAAACACATCAGCATTTTTTAGGGTATTTTCTACCTTTGAAGGGTTACAGATTCTTTAAGCAAGCATTTTGCATCACGTTTCAGTTTAGAGTTCGATGTCATCTTCTTAAAAAATATTTCTATTAACAGCAACAGGGTTAAGCTATATGGGACATAAGGTCTTCCTGCCTATTTGAGAAATGCTGCTGTTTGTTGGCTCTGAACTGGGTTTTTTTTTGATCCCTGTTTTCCTTTTAAAAGTGTGTGATCACTGGGATTAAACAGTCCTTGTCCTATTCTAGTGCTACTATAAAAAAACTAAATTACTTTCTGCCTTACGGTCACCCGCTCCCGCTCTTCCCCGTTTTCGTTCCACAAATGTTTTACTGTCCAATTTCATTTCCACTGCTGTTTTCCGAACTTTTTCATCTCTGCCTTTCACAGCAAACATCTCCATGAAGATTTTCAGAAAACCTAACTCAACCCAATGACTCAAACCAGCTTCTCAGCTAACAGAGCAGAACCTGAAACGGGGGTGAGCGTATGCCATGAAGTTTTAGGTCTTTTGAAACTGCATTTTCAGAAACCTGTGAACAAGAGGTGCCCTGTACTGTATTATTTTTGTGTCATTATAGGAAGGGCTCTCGAAGGGGATACTGCAGAAGGACAGGATGCCTTGTTTTGCTGACAAACCTGCAGCTGCTGAGCAGACACAACATCACGCGTGGGGCAGAGACATGGGGGTGGCCCTGGCAGTCGGGCTGCACTCTGGGCATCTTTCAGCTTCTCAGTAGCTTGAAATACAGGTAACCTGAGGAATTTTCTGGAGAAAAAATGGGGAAAAGCATAGGGGGCCAAGCCTCAAAAGAAATAAAACACCATTAGTGTTAAGTTGCATTTGCTTCCTTTGGAAAACAACCCTTTTCCCGCACAATCCTTTCACCTTCAGGAATCTTCACATCAGAAGTGATATCTTATCTTCTGATCCATGAAATACATGCTGATGGATGACCATGAAAATATGTTCTGCTAGGCATGACTGTTTCCCTGGGTAAAGCAGACCATGTACTGGCCTTATCCCACATTCACAGCCGGCTTGCACCCAGGTTTTTGCATGTTTTGGGAAAGAGACTGTAGTCAGGATCAAACTTGATTCCCCCTGGGGTGCTCATTGATTTCACCTTCCTGCCAGTGGCAGGGCTCAGCGCCTGAACTTGCTTTGGAATGTTTGTCAGAGAGAAGAAGCCCATGTGTGGCTGGGAGATGGACAGATCCTGCAGGCTGCTGGGTCTCAAGCATATCTGGGGTACTCCCTACAAAGCAGAAGTGTGCTGGACCATCTCATATTTTCCTGGGTCTCCGCCACAGGAACGTAATGGCGGAGAACATGTGTTCTGTGAGGGGTTTTGCAACAGTATTGTCCTATAGTTTTTGTGCAATCAGACACACCACAATCTAATCCAGAGCTTGTTAGGGCCCCAGTTTGCAGTCATTGCTCATATAAAATTTCCTCCCAGTTGCCAGCCACGGGGAGATCTCAGTCAGCATCTCACAGCTTCATTTCTCTCAGGTTCCCCGAAACTGCAGGTAACTCCATGAACAGAGCTTAGTAAAAGAAGGTGCAACAAAAATAAAGGGAGCAAGAGCGGTTATTAAGGGAAAACTTCCCCTGGTGAGAAAGGTCACCGAAAGTCTCTGTTCATCACAAAATTCTCCAATTTGTAAAACATGAAACTATACTACTGCCTCAGTTCCCAGGCCCCATTCACCCTCCCACCTCATCCACTACAGCAAGCTTAATTGTATATTAGATAATGTTCTCTTTAACCACAAGCTCTTTCTTAGGACAACCAGAAAAAGTTCAGAAGATGAGGAATTGGAATACTGCTTTTAATATATATAGCTGTATTTACATATATATTGTGTTGTATATTTTTTTTCTAAAGTTCTTGGAATTACATTCCTTGTTGCTGGGGAACATTTATTTCCAGCAAATAACACAGGCAAAATGCTGTTTCTTCTCTGCAACTTTTGCCTATAATTTAAAGACAGACCTGGTGCCTTAAGTCTACAGATATTGTGGAGATTCTCCTCTAGGTGTTATTACACTTTAGCTTTTCTTTGCTGGTTAAGTGTTGCAGTTTCTGATGATTCTGGTTCATCATATGGAGACTGTCTGTGTGTCTGCACAACTTATTACTAGGTATTATCTCTAGACAGCAGATAGATTCTAAAAGGGAACACAAGCATTTTAAAGAAATTACATATAATCCATTAAACGCTTAACATTTTTTACATTAAAATTGTTTTTAAAGAGTGACCTACTAGAGAGAGACGCACGGAGCTAGCAGTTCTCAGGATTTCTGCTGTTGGCTATGCCTCTGACCCTTCAAATCCTAGCCAGTTTGTATACCCAAAAGCATTTGCTTTTTTCCCCTGTATCAGCTGGCCTTACAAGAAGTAACACTGCCTCCCTATATACCTCACCTTGACTAAATAATACCTCAACAGAAAGATCACCAGTCCTCCTGAAGGACAATCACACCTTGAGGCTCCTCTACCTTTTGCTCTCTGCAGAACTGTCCCTGAGCTGTGCTGAAGTCTATCCCTCACCTTTGGGCACCATCATATCCCAGATGCTAATCGTTTTTATTTACTTTGTTATGCAGTCTGCAAGACTAGCAAAGCTCAGTCAAGAAGAAAACACAGAAATCCCTCTTTGACAGGGTTTGCTTAGCAGTAGTATCAGCAGTCATGCAAAGCAGTAGATCATAAAATACTCATTTTCATTTTTACTCCACCTTCTTTTCAAATAGCTCACGTAGACTTTCAACCATGAATGAATAATATCTAACAATTGTTCTTTGAAGTAAATATTATTATCCCTGTATATGGAGCTGAAATCGGACTGCAGATTGTTAAATAACTTTTCCAGGTATGCATCAGGACTGCGTCAATCAGAAAAAAAACACACTCTCTTTTTGTTTCAGTCCTGGATTTTGAATCAGCAAGATCATGTTCGACAGGACAAGCCATTTATTTTAGAGCCAGAGAAAAATAGTTCCAGGCATTCGAGGTGGAAGAAAATGTTATTTCCTTTTCTCTTAACAGTTAAAACATTGGGATGATTTTCAGTAGAGGAAATCAAGCTTTAAAATACAAAACTCTTCACTTGAACAAAACAATAGATATTAATACCATGCCTCTTCTATTTAGATCATTGAAGAACAAAAACAAAACCTAGTAAGATACAGATGCATCGTTATGTTTCACTCCACCAAGCTATCTCATTCACAGATTATTTATCTGGGAAATTGCAGAGAGATTGTTTAAAGCTATGAGGTCAAGCTAGCATTAACGCCAGGAAACACATTTACATCAGGAAAAAGAAAACAAAAAATCATTTAAATACTTTTTGCCTTGAGTATGAAATATATCAGGTGCAGTGAGAGCAAAGGCCAGGCTGGGCTGGGAGAGAGCAGGGTGATGGGAGGGAGAAGAGCATCCCCAGAAGAGAGAAGAAAGGTGGGACAGAAAATAAGAGATATGGGAGAAAATGAATGGATAAGAAGCCAAAGGAGAAATGAAGCAAAGACATGAAGGGATGCAGTGAGAGACTGGGAGACAGAGAGGAAAGGGTCCAAGGAGTGGCACGAGGAGACCTTACCTGCCAGCTGAGATGGGCTTCCAGCGGGGTGGCCATGGGGCCCGCTCGCTGCCATGGCTGGCAGTGCCCTGCAGAGCCCCGGCGAGTGAAACGGAGCAGCGCAGGTGGTGCCTTAAGGGAGCACGTCACTGCCCACAGCGAAACCACTTCTTCAAAAGCGAGGGCCCAAGACCTGAGCCTGAAGGAAATGGCTGTGGGACAGGGAGAAGAGGGGCCTCTCTGGGGGTCTTCCTTCTGTCAGAGGATGTCTCCGCCAAGCTGAGCAGCTGCCTCTGCTCCAGTTGCTCAGTCCTCGCCTGGTGCTTTAGCCCTTCACTCACACTTCTACAAAAACATATTTTCTCGGGTAAATTTGGTGCAGCTGACTTTTTGCTGTCTCACCTCAAATCTTATTTTCGCAGCAGTTATAGTTTCTGCTTTCACGCACTGGCAGTCTGCATAATGTCTCTGGGTATCGATGAGGGGAAGAGCGGGCGGCGCTGCCAAGCTGAAGGGGCAGGCTCAAAATAAAATATCCAAATGAAGTTTGTGGGACACCATGGGAATACCCTGCTGCATCTGCCCGTCGCGGGCCGAGGGAGGTTTCCCGCGCTGGGTGAGCGCTCGGCCTGCTGGTGGCAGAGGACCTGCTGCTGTCACCACCAGGCAGGGGTTTGCGGTGTGGGGCTGTGTTTACTCAAGGGCGAACAGGGAACTAGCACGGGCTGCAGGAAGGTTCAAAACGAGCAGCAGCTGCTCTGAAGTCGTTTCGCAGATGACTTGTCTAGGGGATAAAAATAAAGGCCTCCAGGCACACCCTCAGATGTGGACATGGTCCGTCTGCCCTCAGTCTGTCCCCACTTGTCACCTCCCTTGGAGCGTGGCACTCCAGGACCTGCCACCTCCTCGCCTCCTAGTCACTAGTGTGCAGAGTGTGGACTAGCTGGCCCGCGGCTGAAGTAACTTGCCCCAGGGAGGGTGCCTGGTTTGTACCAGGACAGGACACCATGAGGGGCAGGCAGATCTCCCTAGCTTCCACCTCTGTGCGTTGCAGCAGAGGCAGAAAGTGGATCCAGTTCTAAGGGATAAGCTGGAGCATCTTCCCCAGGATTCCCCCAGGATATGCTGGGGGATTTTTATTATTCATTCACCTCTTCTATTTTCACTTGCTAGGGACGAGGCATCCATTCTGCAATTGTACAGAACCTGGACAAAAAGAATCCCTGAGCAAATAAATTCAATGTCAGTAAGGTGTTCTCATAAACCTACCAGAGATGATATCTCGATTTTTTTATTTCCCATCGATACCTGGTAAACAGCTTCTTTTGCATTAGGGAAGATTAATTAAAAATATAGATGGAGCAGAACTAGACTATCATACATAAAAGAAGCCATAGAAAATGTCCCAATGAGGGGAAATGGCATTGAGACCAGCATTTTTAGCAAAGATGAGCCCGTGACCTCTCACAAGAGTGCCTGAGAAATACAGACTGAGGCAATAGCATTGCACTCTGGTGCTGAAGACAAGTTTCTATGTGATGCAGTGCAAAGGAAGGAGCTGAAATGATAGGAAAACTAGGGAGGGATATATTTGCAAGGATGCAAAAAACAGGTAAGGAAGTATAGGATTCCACAGGCTGTAGAGAAATCATTGTAAACAAGGAAGTGCCATGCTGGCAACAAGCTTTCCTGGATGGCAGGTGGCTTTTTTTTCCACAAGCCTCACTATTACACAGTCCCAGCATGGATGAGTTTGGAAGGCACCTCTGGAGATTGCCTGGTCCAGCCCAGTGCTAAGCGCAATAAGCTAGCACAGGTTGCTCCAGACCACATCCAGTCTAGTTTTAAATATCTCCAAGGACGGAGACTCCACAACTTCTCCAGGCAATCTATTCAGTGCTCAACCATCCTCACGGTGAAAAAGTGTTTCCTGATGGTCAGAGGGAACCTCGTGTGTTTCAGTTTGTACCCATTGCCTCAGAGCCTGTCGCTGGGCACCGTACAGGCTCTGCCTTCTTTCCTCTCCCCCATCAGTCATGTATACACATTGATAACATCCCCCTGCGCCTTCTCTTCTCCATGCTGAACAGTTCCAGCCCTTTCACTCCCTCGTCACATTGGCAGATACCCCAATCTCTTAATCAACCTCATGGCTCTTCACTGGACTCACTCCATTAAGTCCATGTCTGTCTTGTACTTTTCCTGTATCCTTTTCAACATCACATCTACATACAGGTTTTTCCCTGAGAAACCAGGGGGTAGACAGTTTGTGCCTCTGTTCTGAAACCACCAGCAATCTACTCCAGTCACCTACTCTTCATGGGCAGTCAGGTGGCAAGGAGATGACATGTCCGAACACTTATACATATATACTGAAACATGGATGCTCATCCTTTGATTTAAAATTTGCAAGTGACCTAAGTCCTTTGTTTTCTCTTCTGTGATGCATTCATTGGAAGCTGCTGGGATTTCATTGAAGATATTTGGCCTTTTCTGTGGTTCAGACAAGGAGAAACAAACATTAACTTTCTTAATCATAAGTATGAGAATCTGTTGCTGGTGATTCAGCTGATCTGGTATCAGAAGTCTTAATGTACATGTGATGTTTTCATCTTAAAAGCTTCTGTGAAAGATGCCATCAGCCAGGATGGTTCATATCTACTGGATGTAGCCAACATAAATATATAAAATCTGGCATCTTAACTTATTCCTAAAAAGCCTGGACCTTGGAGGATGTTCAACAAATGTGTTATACACATGTATATGACAGTAAAGCATTCTTCTGAGCGAGCAAAGGTTTTTTGCCCCTATGGGAGAGTGGCCCTTGTTACCAAGTATTTTATCCAAGTTATGTCACATCATGGTTGGCTTTCACTCCAACAGTTATATAAAGTCAGCTGCAGCTGCCACACAGTAAGAAACTCTCTAGCTAAAGCATATGACTGGATTACCAGAACAGTGAGCCTAGACTTACGTTTTAGTGCTTGTACGAATATGAACTCTAGCCTAGAGCTATACCTCCCCTCCATAAATTATTAATGTAGGTGTTAGCATACATTATTAACGTAGGTGTTAGCTGGAGCACTTCAGGGTCAACTCCTGACTTGCTATTTGATTTGAATTCAAAACTTCACCAAGTCGGAATGAATTTCTTTTTGAATATGAATGGGAGTCCAGTTAGGAGCAACATTTGTTTTATTCCAGCTACTGTTATTAAAGACAACTGCCTAGCTAGGGACCCATGGGTATTGCCACAGCAGCTTGGTCCATTCAATCCAATATCCTGACACCCATATTAGTCATTCTTAAACACTTCAAAGGAAGATTAAAAAAAAACCTAATTTTGTGGGATAATCTCCTCAAGACTGGCAATTTCCCTTAGACTTCAGACAGCAATGGGTGTATATCCTGAATTATCAGGGTTTATTACTCTTCCTTCAACAACTAAATGAACAAATGCTAAATTCTTGTCTAATATGACTGTGGACTCTGACCATGCTTATATTTCTGTAAATCATGCTATTTTTTTTCTTAATGATATACTATAATGATAGACTTAAAGTTTAAATTCAGATTATGTGAAAAAAAAATTTAGAAGTATTTCCTTTGATCTGTTTCAATAATATTAAGCAAGGCCAGTTTTGTAAGTAGAGATATTATCTCTTAATAGACCAACTGGTACTGTTGAAAAAAAAAGAAGAGTTCAGGCATTACTTCTTCCAACTACTTGGTTAGTTTAACAAGATTCCTACCTACAAAACTTGTCTTGCCTATGCCTTAAAAATCACAGTTACAATAACTCTATACTTCAAAAAGTACTGCTATTCATTCGCATTATCTGATGCCAGCCTGCACTTCAGGATCTGTTTCCACTTGATTTAATAAACATGTTAATTTTAGGTCAACACAAAGAGAAACTGTCACTCTCAATAGCACACATGGCTTTCTCAACACTGGTTCAAATGTTAGGGGAGAGCTATTTGGCACTTGCGACCTGATTTGGCTAGAGGAAAGAGCTCTTGGCAGGGCTTTCCTTCTCAAGGATTTCATTTTTTCTCCTCTTCCCCCCCCATTTTTCATCTCATAATGCTTGGTTCTGCCTTTCTGTAAGAGCTCATAAAAACTCTGTCACTTGGCTATGGCTGCATGCATGCATACAGGAGTATTTCCCCATTTCTGGGTCGAAAAGTACACCATGGTTATGACTTGACTAGAAAGTGGGACAAGACCCAGGGGCATCTATGTGTTTCTCCTTCATCTTGCTCCCTGGATCTCATGCAAAGTAAATCTGGGTACACGTCCAGGAGAGGAGCAGCAGCATGCTCCATATAGATTCAATTATCAGGGGATCTAGTTGTGGGGGGAAAAAAAATAAGATGACATCATCAGTCACTACTCTGCAGGAATGCCCACTAAATCTCTGTGCACTGCACGAGGCAGCAGAGCGAGTTCAAGCAGAAAGCGAGTGGCCAGCAGGACTCCTCAAGTGCTCTGCCTGACCAGCGGGAACAGGCAATGGAATAAAATTCTGGAGGTTATGATTAATAAGAAAGCATCAGGCTCCCAGATGGACACTCAGTAGCTGCAAGTCAAACCTTCAGTCAGCCCTTATGTACAGTTAGAACTGAAGAGACAGAAGCGAGAGCTTGCCAGAGCCACAAAAAGAAGCTCATGCCATCTTGAGCCTCTTCCCATTATTGGCTCTGCTCTGCTGGACAAGAGAATGTAGAAAAGATGAGGGATGCTTCCAAGCTGGAAGTGCCTGTGAGGGAGAACCCAAGCACCCTTGGCACCATTCCGCTATTGCTATGTTCTCATTGCAATCCGGGCACTCTGGCTGGCAGGATCACGTGCCGCTGCCCAGTCCGCTATCTCAGCTCTTCCCGCATCCAGCAGGAATGTTTTCAACCTGAGCTGCAGCATGCAGGCAGAAAAAAATGTGGGTTGTGTATATACAAGCCCATTTGTGTCCTTGTTCCCAACCCCGCTGGGTCCATGTAATATTAGACATATGCGTGGATCAGCAAAAGAGCTGTGGGAAAAGCAGAGTCACAAACTTGAAAACACTGGTTAGAA